TTTTACCTATTGTGTCTGTTTGTTTTGTTCACACATTGTTGTCAATATAATAAAATTTTATGCAACTGTCATACAAGTGAGAACTTTAGCTAGCTATAAAACCAGGTTTAACCCACCATTTTCTACATAGGAAATGTCTGTACCAAATCAGGAATATGACAGTTGTTTTCTATTCGTTTGATGTGATTGAGCTTTTGATTCCGCCATTTGATAAGAGACTTTCCGATTTGAATTTTCCTTGCAGTTCGGTATTTTTGTTATTTAACTTTTTATGCAGTGTTTGTCATTACTGTGACTTGACTATAGGTGTTGCTCTTTACCTTTACCTATTGTTCAACCAGATTGTAAAATTGACAATACAATTGGGACAATTAAATTGACCAGTTGGTATTGTTAGAGTTGAGTCTACCTTGATGCTACCTGTACTGTTTTTTTTTCACCTAACCCAACCTTACAGCATGCTTTTTTCCTGAAGTTTTTCTTCACCTAGGGTTATTCTATCATAAAATTGATAGGGAAGAAAATATCATTGGTTTTCATTGTTTTAACTCCCCAATATAGATGATTAATCTAATTTATACCCAAAAATCTAAACCAGTCAAAAGATTTTCTTAACAGCATGTAATATTTATGAAAATTAAAACTGTTTTACATAATAAAAGAATATTTAAATTGTTAACCCTTATACATATTATTGTCCAGTTGTCAGTGAAACAAGAAATATCTATTCAGGTGTTTTCAGTTTCAGTTTTAGATGGATATATGTTATGCATTTCTTCATATATCCCTTCAATTTTTTCATTTTGGATTATTATTCGCATTGTTTGAAATCTATTGGAATCAATGTGCATAAAAAATTGGGATTTATTTTATTTGAATTCACTTCTTGTATGCCATTTAATTTTTCTTCTTAAAATGTGATTTTGACTGGATTGTCATAAATGTATCAAGGAGGAAATAATTCATTCAAAATATTTTATGTGGCTTTCACATGATGATATACATGTAAAAGTCAAAAAAAAAAATGGATTATACCTTGCAGTGTTTTTCTTTGAAATCTATTAGGATTTTTGTGCATACCAATACTGTGTTCTCTCAAGGGAATTCACTTTTTATAAATTGGGATTTAGTTAATCAAAAAGGTAAAATAATTCAAAACTGGAATGCAAGTAGAAGAAATAAGTTCAACCAACATGTTTCTGTGGCTTTAAATGTTTAAATGTGATTTTGAAAATAATCATTATAAAATTCTGGATTCACCTGTTTAAATTGGATATATATCATGGAAATGAAATGAAATGTGAATACAGTGGATAGAGTCAAATTTAGTGATAAAGTGAATAATAAAAGTAAAATATTCCCAAAAAATTCATAACATGAGGATAAAAATTTTGAATATGATATATTCCACGATATATGTGGGAAAAAAATAAAAACTGAATACTGTGGATATAGTAAAATCAAGCGATATAGGGAAAAATATGAATAAAATATCCAAAACATTTGTAATGTGATATTGGAAATAATCAAAAATTACAAAATTCTGGATATAATTTAAAGGCTATGCACCTGTTTAATTGGGATATATATTTATATCATGGGAAATCAAAGAGAATACTTTGGATATAGAAAACAAATCTAGTTATATAGTGAAAAATGTAAGAAAATATTCCAAAAAGTTAATAGATTCTGGAAAATATTTTAAAATTACTTCAAATAGTGAAACTGGAATACTGGATGGAATATCAAATCAGTGTAAATAAATAAATGAATAAACAGTTAATTCATGACTATTATTTGTTATATTTCACCATGCATAAATCTTTTGTACAAGGCTCATGTCAATAAGTATTGAACAAATGTCTAAATGAAAGAATGCACACATTTGTTCTGGTGTTTAGTAATCCTGAAAAATTATGGAAATTATAAAATAATTCAGATTTCCACAAGAGTAAAATAAAATATTTTGAGTTATCTCCCATTAGAAAAAGCCAAAGAGATGAAAGAGGTCTTTTCAACAATATAAAAGAAATCTAAGCACTCGTAGTTTTGGCTATGAAAAAATTAAGAGGAAATGTAGTGCATTATATGACATGCAATTAAATACCCTGCAAGAAAAAAAAACATATATTCTTGTTCTGGCTTGCTCACTCCTACAATTTGAAATGACAGTAAAGTAAAAATCTCTCCTTTTCCTTCTAAATGTTATGTTTCTTTGGCAATTGTATGGCCATCAACGAATATATTCATTTTAAAAAATGACTGTAATTTCAATGCTTATTTCCATTATTTATTTTACGATTCTCTAAAGAAAAACATTGGGAAATGAAATTAAAAAAAAATCAGCAGTTTATAGCAAAAATTAGAACATGGAATCGTTTATTGTGGCCATACTCAAGCTTTTTTCATACCATATACCATTTAAACTAGGCATGTTATGTTATTTATAATTTCAAATGGGTCAGGATACAACATTTTTTAATTGATCATTTACTATTAAATTTCATTTCCTAATAACAGCCTTACATTATTATTGTTGTTATCATATTATTGTTATTGGAATAAATGAGTCTTTTTTTAAATATCAAATGATATTTTCCTGAAAATTTGCTGTTTTCATCTATAAATAAACAATAGTCAGTTTAAAGTTTGAACAACATTTAACCACTGAACAGTTAAAGTCACTTCATGGACCTTTCATAGGTAAATCCATCAATGTAGATTCTTACTGGTTCAGTGAGATTTAAATCTGGCAGCTGGTCAATTTAAATGTCCCAATTGTATGGTCAATTTTAAAAACTGGTTGAACAATAGGTAAAGGTAAACAGCAACACCTATAGTCAAGTCACAGTAACTTGTTATAGTACTCCCAATACTAAAGTGTTTGTCGCCAAGCTTGATAAATTACATTCATTTATGAAGTGTTTGTAATGAAACTTGGTAATGAACTCTCATGTATACACTGTTTGTCACGAAGATTGGTAAAGTACTCCATTTAATGGACTTTCCGATTTGAATTTTCTTCGGAGTTTGGTATTTTTGTTATTTTACTTTTACTAATGTTTGTCATGAAACTTGATAGAGTACTACCTTTATACAGATTTTGTCTTGAAACTTAATAAAAGAACTATCGTTTATACAGTTTTTGTTATGAAATTTGATAGAGTACTACCGTTTATACAGTGTTTGTCATGAAACTTGATAGAGTACTACCGTTTATACAGTGTTTGTCTTGAAACTTGATACAGTACTACCGTTTAAACAGTGTTTGTTGTGAAACTTGATAGAGTACTAACGTTTATACAGTGCTTGTATGAAACTTGATAAGAGTACTTCCGTTTATACATTGTTTGTCATGAAACTTGATAGATTACTACCGTTTATACAGCGTTTGTTATGAAACTTGATAGAGTACTACCATTTATACATTGTTTGTCATGAAACTTGATAAGAGTACTACCGTTTATACATTGTTTGTCATGAAACTTGATAGAGTACTACCGTTTATACAGTGTTTGTCATGAAACTTGATAGAGTACTACCGTTTATACATTGTTTGTCATGACACTTGATAAGAGTACTACCGTTTATACATTGTTTGTCATGAAACTTGATAAGAGTACTACCGTTTATACATTGTTTGTCATGAAACTTGATAGATTACTACCGTTTATACAGCGTTTGTTATGAAACTTGATAGAGTACTACCATTTATACAGTGTTTGTCATGAAACTTGATAGATTACTACCGTTTATACAGCGTTTGTTATGAAACTTGATAGAGTACTACCATTTATACATTGTTTGTCATGAAACTTGATAAGAGTACTACCGTTTATACATTGTTTGTCATGAAACTTGATAGAGTACTACCGTTTATACAGTGTTTGTCATGAAACTTGATAGAGTACTACCGTTTATACATTGTTTGTCATGACACTTGATAAGAGTACTACCGTTTATACAGTGTTTGTCATGAAACTTGATAGAGCACTACTGTTTATACAGTGTTTGTCATGAAACTTGATAAGAGTACTACCGTTTATACAGTGTTTGTCATGAAACTTGATAGAGAACTACCGTTTATACAGTGTTTGTCATGAAACTTGATAGAGTACTACTGTTTATACATTGTTTGTCATGAAACTTGATAGAGTACTACCGTTTATACAGTGTTTGTCATGAAACTTGATAGAGTACTACCGTTTATACATTGTTTGTCATGAAACTTGATAAGAGTACTACCGTTTATATATTGTTTGTCATGAAACTTGATAGAGTACTACCGTTTATACAGTGTTTGTCATGAAACTTGATAAGAGTACTACCGTTTATATATTGTTTGTCATGAAACTTGATAGAGTACTACCGTTTATACATTGTTTGTCATGACACTTGATAAGAGTACTACCGTTTATACATTGTTTGTCATGAAACTTGATAAGAGTACTACCGTTTATACATTGTTTGTCATGAAACTTGATAGAGTACTACCGTTTATACAGTGTTTGTCATGACACTTGATAAGAGTACTACCGTTTATACATTGTTTGTCATGAAACTTGATAAGAGTACTACCGTTTATACATTGTTTGTCATGAAACTTGATAGAGAACTACCGTTTATACAGTGTTTGTATGAAACTTGATAGAGAACTACCGTTTATACAGTGTTTGTCATAAAACTTGATAGAGTACTTCCGTTTATACAGTGTTTGTCGTTTAACTTGATAGAGTACTACCGTTTATACAGTGCTTGTACGAAACTTGATAGAGTACTATTGTTTATACATTGTTTGTCATGAAACTTGATAAAGTACATCCATTTCTGATGTGTTTGTCATTGATAAAGTACTCCCATTTCTGCAGTGTTTGTCATAAAACCTGATAAAGAACTCTATAGCAATATAATTGAAACTTCACATACTAGTAATAACAAATGTACCCTTAATAAAGTCATTTTACATAGGTTTAACCTTATTTTTTTTTTTTTATTTTCAGTTTTTTCTACAAGGAATATATTTCATCAACTTTTACAGGAAAGGAATATCAAGTAAAACAGATGATAATGGGGTCCTTTTAAAACTGGTATGTAATATACTAATGAGAGATCCGGTATATACTAATGGGAGATCTTGAATGTTACATACATACGAAAGGTCTGGTATGTATCATACTACTGGGAGGTCTGGTTTGTGATATACTAATGGGAAGTCTGGTATGTAACATACTAATGGGAGGTCTGGTTTGTGATATACTAATGGGAAGTCTGGTATGTATCATACTAATGTGAGGTCTGGTTTGTGATATACTAATTGGAAGTCTGGTATGTATCATACTAATGGGAGGTCTAGTTTGTGATATACTAATTGGAAGCCTGGTATGTAGCATACTAATGGGAGGTCTGGTTTGTGATATACTAATGGGAAGTCTGGTATGTAGCATACTAATGGGAAGTCTGGTATGTAGCATACTAATGGGAAGTCTGGTATGTAGCATACTAATGGGAAGTCTGGTATGTAGCATACTTATGGAAGGTCTGGTTTGTGATATACTAATGGGAAGTCTGGAATGTAGCATACTACTGGGAAGTCTGGTATGTAGCATACTAATGGGAAGTCTGGTATGTAGCATACTAATGGGAAGTCTGGTATGTATCATACTACTGGGAGGTCTGGTATGTGATATTCTAATGGGAAGTCTGGTTTGTAGCATACTAATGGGAGGTCTGGTTTGTGATATACTAATGGAAAGTCTGGTATGTAGCATACTAATGGGAGGTCTGGTTTGTAATATACTAATGGGAAGTCTGGTATGTAGCATACTAATGGGAGGTCTGGTTTGTGATATACTAATGGGAAGTCTGGTATGAAGCATACTAATGGGAGGTCTGGTTTGTGATATACTAATGGGAAGTCTGGTATGTAGCATACTAATGGAGGTCTGGTAAGTAACATTCTTATCAGAGGTCTGGTAAACAAAATACTAACGGGAGGTGACGAATGTATAATACTAATTAGAGTTCTGGTATGTAATTTACTAAATAAATGACTAATGTGAAGTCAAGTATGTAACTTACTGGTTGGAGATCTGGTAGGTAACGTACTAATGGAAGGTCTTGTGTGTAGCATAATAATGGGTGATTCTGGTATGTAACATACTAAGGGAGATCTGTTATGTCATATACTAATGGGAGATCTAGTATGTAACATACTAGTCGGAGATCTGGTATGTAATATACTAATGGGAGATCTGTAATGTCATACACCAACGAGAGATCTGGTATGTAATATACTAACGGTAGATCTGGTATGTAATATACTAATTGGAGATTTGTTATGTCATACACTAATGGGGGGTCTGGTATGCAACATACTAATGGGAGATCTTGTATGTAATATACTTATGGGAGATCTGGTATGTAATATACTAATCGGAGATCTGTTATGTCATACACCAATTGGAGATTTGGTATGTAATATACTAACGGGAGATCTGGTATGTAATATACTAATTGGAGATCTGTTATGTCATACACTAATGGGGGTCTGGTATGTAACATACTAATGGGAGATCTGGTATGTTATATACTAATGGGAGATCTGTTATGTCATACACTAATGGGAGGTCTGGTATGTAACATACTGATGGGAGATCTGTTATGGCATATACTAATGGGAGATCTGTTATGTCATACACTAATGAGGGGTCTGGTATGCAACATACTAATGGGAGATCTTGTATGTAATATACTTATGGGAGATCTGGTATGTAATATACTAATCGGAGATCTGTTATGTCATACACCAATGGGAGATTTGGTATGTAATATACTAACGGGAGATCTGGTATGTAATATACTAATTGGAGATCTGTTATGTCATACACTAATGGGGGGTCTGGTATGTAACATACTAATGGGAGATCTGGTATGTTATATACTAATGGGAGATCTGTTATGTCAAACACTAATGGGAGGTCTGGTATGTAACATACTAATGGGAGATCTGTTATGGCATATACGAATGGGAGATCTGTTATGTCATACACTAATGGGGGGTCTGGTATGTAACATACTAATGGGGTGTCTGGTATGTAATATACCAACGGGAGATGTGGTATGTAATATACTTATTGGAGATCTGTTATGTCATTCACTAATGGGGGGTCTGGTATGTAACATACTAATGGGAGATCTGGTATGTATCATACTTATAGGAGATCCATTGTGTAATACACAAATGGGAGTTGTGGTATGTAACATACTAATAGGAGATCGGTTATGGCATATACTAATGAGAGATCTGGTATGTAACATACTAATGGGAGATCTGTTATGTCATACATCAACGGGAAATCTGGTATGTAATATTCTAGTTGGATATCTGGATGTAACATACTAATGGGAGATCTGGTATGTAACATACTAACGGGAGATCTGGTATGTAATTTACTAATTGGAGATCTGTGATGTCATACCCTAATGGGAGATCTGGTATGTAATATACTAATGGGAGATCTGGTATGTAACATACTAATCGGATATCTGTGATATCATACACCAACGGGAGATCTGGTATGTAATATACTAACGGGAGATCTGATATGTAATATACTTATGGGAGATCTGTTATGTCGTACACTAATGGGGGGTCTGGTATGTAACATACTAATGGGAGATCTGTTATGGCATATACAAATGAGAATTCTGGTATGTCATACACTAATGGGGGGTCTGGTATGTAACATACTAATGGGAGATCTGGTATGTACTATACTAATGGGAAATCTGGTATGTAATATACTAATGGGAGATCTGGTATGTAACATACTTATCGGAGATCTGTTATGTCATACACCAACGGGAGATCTGGTATGTAATATACTAATGGGAGAACTGTAATGTCATATACTTATGAGAGATCTGGTTTGTAACATACGAATGGGAGATCTGTTATGTAACATATAACAGGTAGATTTGGTTCGTAATGTTCTAATGGGAGATCTGGTTTGTCATATCAGTCAAGTCACGTTTCTGTCTGTGTTACATTTTAATGTTGTGTTTTTGTTGTGTCGTTGTTCTCTTATATTTGATGCGTTTCCCTCAGTTTTAGTTTGTAACCCGGATTTGTTTTTATCTCTGTCGATTTATGAGTTTCGAACAGCGGTATACTACTGTTGCCTTTATTTATATACTAAAGGGAGATACGGTATTCAATTTACTAATGGATCTGGTATGTTACCTAGTAGCATACAAAGGGAAATCTTGGTTGTAGTATACTTAAGGGAGATCCCTTATGTAATAATTGAATGGGAGATCGGTATACGAATTGGAGATTTGGAAGTGAAAAAGTGCATAAGATACCAAAGGGACATTCAAACTCATAAGCTGGAGACGACAAACCGGCAACACAATGGCAAAAATATGAGTGGGAGATCGAGTACTAGTATGTTATATACTTTTTGGAGATAAGATGTGTAATAAACGAATCTGAAACCCCATATTTGCTATATTGGTATGAGATCTTGTATGTAATATATGAATGCTAGATCTAGGATTTAATATACAAAAGAAGGACATCCTTTTAGGTAGGATTGGTTATTCCTTCTTCGCTCTCTGTACAAAAACTGTGATAGGCTCTTATAATAATCTATTTGGAGATATGACATGTATTTTTATCTTTTTGTGCCATGACTCATTTGTGTCGATGGTATATTTGAGCAACCAGTTTAAAATAAAAGTATGATTCGTGCCAAAAATTGAGTATAATTAAGACTGCCCCATTTCATTGATAAAATTTTTATTTGAAGTAAAACAAGAACTCCACAATCTTTCTTTAACTGATCCTTAAACTTGCATATACAGCTGCAGGATTTTAATTTGCTTTATAGCACATTTTAAGAGAAGGCAGAAAAAACATAAAGCTATTGCAGTCAGGTTACATTAATTAGATTGATGGATGAAATGTATAGCAATTATAGTCTCTACAGCTGCATTATCCTTCTCATGCTTCTGAAATTAAGTTTCAACATTAAATGAATGAATTCATTTAAGTGTAAATTCTATTATCAGTAACAAGTTGTATTTTTTGTTTTAGAAAGTGTCATGACTGAGATTTTTGTTTGTTTGTATTGTTATTTATCATATAATAAATACACGTGGCAAATGTCAATGTGACAGTTACAAGATACACTTAACTTGATTAGTTTTATTGATAAAATCTACATTATAATCAGTATTTATATTGTTGAAGTACAAGTGTAATTACTTTTTTTTCAGTTATCTTACAGTGTTCCTATAATGATATTTGGTTTCATAGCCTGCCTTGTTGGGATTGTCCTTACCTCTGTATCGGGAGTTTTTTCAAGTTGTCATAGAAGCCCGTTTTCGCATTATGACATAGCATGTGATTCGGATATAGGAAAGTATAGAAGTGTTGCTATACCTATATTAGTTTTTGTGCTTCTTTGTTTAGTTTTAAACATTTATACAGTATATTATGTATGTACAAATCAATATAGATTTGGTAGGGGAAACTTTCCTATTGGTAGAAGGACCTTTCGACAGATTTTAGGGGAAAACATGGCCGCTCGAGAGGAGGCAGGATATCAAGCAGGTCAAAACTATTCTGGTGTAAATATGGGAACAAGCCCTTATGCTGGGCCTGCTTATCCAATGGGATCGAATCCTTCTGGCTATCCTATGGGCCCTGTTGAAGGATATTCCATGGGTCCAATCACAGACTATCCAATGGGACCAACCTCAGGCTATCCAAAGGGTCCAATCACAGATTATTCAATGGGACCAGGTATTCCTCCTCCTGAGCAGCAATTTCCTGGACCTTATCCACAACCAGAAGCTTCATACCCATCAGGACCAACTGGACCATCAGATGTTAAAATTGATTTGAATCATCCACCAGAAGTACCAGCTGCTCCTCCGCCATCTTATGAAAGTGTCACTAAACAGTGAGATACAACAGAAACATCAGCATTGTTAAAATGTAACTGTTGTATTTGATAATGCTTATAAGAAATCACTTTCTAATAAACTTAAGAATGCTGTAGTGATTTCAAAGATACAAAAGTTTCCAATGGATTTTCAATCAGACCTTATTCATGAGAAATACTTTAAACCTTCTTTAAATGAAATATATCATAAATCTTTATTCAGTGAGAAATACCATCAACCTTGTTTCAATGAAAAATAACCTCAATCTTTGTTCAATTAGAACTATCTTCAATTTTATTTCAGAGAAAACAATTTAATTTTTTGAACAGATATATCATGTTAAGGAGGGGTATTTGCGAAAAATACCAGTCGAGGGAATGTTAAATTTCGCGAGCCGTAAGGCGAGGGAAATTCATTCTCAAGACTGGTATTTTTCGCAAATACCCCCCAAGAACATGCTATATCTGTTTAATTACACCGAATGTTAACGTACAAAACACATTGATGATCGTGACATTACAAGCGTCCAGTCGGATAGAGTATTTTTTGGGAAATACCACGGCAGAGAGGGTGAAAAAGGCATATCCTTTTTGCATATACCCCGGCGCTGTTTAAAATGAATGATATTCATTTGATAAAAGTAAATTGGTGAAAAATACACTGGCTATCAACCAATCAAAACCCAGGATTCTTACATAAGGTGTAATTAAAAGAGATATATCATAAACTTGATTTCAGTGAGAAATACAATTAACCTCATTTCAGTGAAAATGACCATCGTTACCTTATTTCAAAAAAAATAATAACATAAACCATATTTTAGTGAAAAATACCTTACACCTTGTGTCAGTGAGGAAAACCATGCACTTTATGTCAGCGAGAAATACCATAAATCTTACTTCTGTGAAAATACCATGTAGCCTATGTCTGTGAAAAATACCATCAACCTTATTTCAGTGAAAAATAACATAATCCATTTTAGTGAGAAATACTTTAAATCTGATGCTTGCGAAAAATATTTTGAACCTTATCTCTCAGTAAAAATTAACATAAACTTTTTTTCAGTGAAAATTGCCATAACTCTTTCGTCAGTGAAAACTACCATGAACCGTATTTTAGTCGGAAGTACCATGAACCGTATTTTAGTCGGAAATACAATAAACCTTATTTCAGAGAGAATGACCATGAACACTTTTTCAGTGAGCTCTAAACCTTATTCCAGTCAGAAATGCCATAAACCTTATTTAAGGATGTACTTAGGTTAAATTAAAAAAATCAAGAATTTAAAATTCATACTATAAGTCGAAAGAGCATTAGTTAAGGAACAAAATAAGATAAAAATATTGATAGGTCATAGAGCTCCTTTTCGAGATATTTGATTTTTAAAATATGGCGGGAAAAGGCTGACTCGGACTTTTTCCTTATATTTGCATTGGTATTATGTTGGTCTCAAAACAGAAGAAAAGAAATCAAGAATCTGCTTAAATTTTGGCAAATGACCTTTTATGAACTAATAAGTCTTATATGAAAAGATAAATGGGTGTTATGGGGCAAAATATTTTACCTTGTATCGTATGGGAAAAAACCAAGGAGTCCGAACATCTGACACAAATTCAAAAACCTCACCTAAGTACATCCTTAAGTGGGAAATACCATAAATCTTATTTCGGAGGTAATTATAAATATATTTCATGGAGAAATATCATAAACCTAATTTCACTGAAAATATCACAAATCTTAATAATGAATTATATAACTTAATATGTAATAACTAGAATATATGTCACCAATAATGAATCATGTTATTCAGTATGTTATTATTAGCTTGTATGTCACCGATAACGTCATATTATTTAGTATGTTTTTATTAGCCTGTATGTCACCAATAATGAACATGTTATTGAATATGTTATTACTAGAATATATGTCACAAATAATGAATCATGCTAATAAGGATTTTATTATTAGCTTGTATGTCATCGATAAAGTGCATGGTATTAAGTATGTTATTATTAGCTTGTATGTCATCACTAATGAATCGTGTTATTTAAGTATGTTTTTATTAGCTTGTATGTCGCCGATAACGTGTATGTTATTTAGTATGTTATTATTAGCTTGTATGTCACCAATAATGAACATGTTATTGAGTATGTTATAACTAGAATATACGTCACCAATAATGAATCATGTTATTGAGTATGTTATAACTACAATATACGTCACCAATAATGAATCATGTTATTGAGTATGTTATTACTAGAATATATGTCACCAATAATGAATCATGATATTAAGTATGTTATTACTAGAATATATGTCACCAATAATGAATCATGTTAATGAGTATGTTATTACTAGAATATATGTCACCAATAATGAATCATGTTATTGAGTATGTTATTACTAGAATATATGTCACCAATAATGAATCATGTTATTGAGTATGTTATAACTAGAATATACGTCACCAATAATGAATCATGTTAGTGAGTATGTTATTACTAGAATATATGTCACCAATAATGAATCATG